TCTTGCGCGCCGCGCCCCCGCGCCCGCCCTCCCGTCGCGGCCCAAGCGCGGAAGCCGCCGGGCCCGGGAAGCCTGCGAGGCGCGGTGCGCGGTTTGTGCGTCAGCCGCGCGCCGCCGCCGCCGCCGCTTCCTCCGCCTCCCTCGCAGCAGCAGCAGCAGCAGCAGGAGGCGGGCCGGGCCTGCCGCACGCGGGGCGGGCTTCGAGGGAGGACGTGCCCGCGGCCGGCCCGGCCCTCGCTCCTCCTCCTCCTCCTCCTCCTGCAGCCGCGCAACCGCACGGCCGTCCTCCGGGATTTAGGGCACGGCCCGCCAGAACGAGCAGGCCGACGCGCCCCGCAAAAGCCCCAAATGCAGCCAGGCCCCCTTGCAGTTCCGGAAATTCGGCAGCGGCACTGATCGGGGTGCAGTCCGGCGCGCATGTAGCTAGTAGCTCTTGCGCCACGAAGCCGGAAAGGTCGGACGCGCTGGCAGCCGCGGCCTGTTTTCTGGCTCAGCGGGGATCGGCTTGCGCGTTTTGCTTAGATTTGCGCGGCGTTTTTCTGCCCTGGGTTCGCACATCATTGTCGCGCGTGGGTGCGGGTGCCGCCCCACTTGCGCGTGAGGCTGGGCTGAGAGGCGTTGGAAAGCGTCGGAGAGGGTGGCATAGGACTCGGGAACTTGTCGATTGTGCAGAAATTCCCGGGGTTTCCTGGCGCAGGGGTCTCAAAGCTATTGGTGCAAGGCTGCAGGGGGCTAAGAAAGCTTAGGATGCACAGCTGAAGAGGTCCATACTGGAAGATGGTAGGCGTGATGGAAAAATGATAAAGCTAAAAGGAAGGCCACGAGAGGCGCTCCTCAGTCCCAGTGGGAAGATGGTCCCATCCATCGGAAGGCCCGCTGGTCAGGTGGAAATCGAAATATTTGGCAAATGCTAATTTCTCTGTTCGGATTTGCTATTCAGGTGCTAACGGGTTACGGGCAACAGCTTAGGTGCTTCATTGGTAAAGTGGGATTGCACAGAATTAGCCTTGCAATAAAGGGCAGCTTCAAAAAGAGGACATTCCAAATAGAGGGCTGTCTTGTGGAAGAGGGACACGTGCTCCCTGTGAGCTTTGCCAGGAGAACCCAAAGTGAATGAAGGAAGTTTGGACAGTCCAAGGCCGCGTCCAGACATGGCGGGCCTTGTTTGGAGAGCAGCCTGACCCTTGACCAGACATCCCTGCTGACAGATGACCTTTGGGATTTCCTTGGGGCTCTGTGATAAGGTGTCCCCACTTCTCTGCGGCGTTGCTTATTCCTCTGTAAATTTGGGTAGCTGAGATGTCTCTTTGAGGACGAGCCAGAGAGCCTTTTAGGAACAGCAAGGGCTTGGGGAGAGGGTGAGAGACGAGAAGGACAAGAATGGGGACCGACGTGGCAGCGGGGCTGTGACCTTCCTCTGTTTACGGCTCTTGTCCTCTCCAAACAGCAAATGGCCTCCGCCTGAATGTGCTGGCCCAGGGGCCTGGGGGTCGTCCAGACAGTCTGCTGCCTTGTTTGTTATCGTGAGCTTTCCCCATCCGTTCCCTTTCTTTCCTTGGGTGCCTCCTAGACAGGGTTGCAAAATGGACCTTAAGTATTACGCACCCCGTTCTTGTTGTTCTGTACAGCCCAAGAACCAAAGCGCTCTGTGCGGTTTACAATGTTTCTGTTTTGTTGTGGTTTTGGTTAGCTGCAAAGGCATGCCCGACCCATCACAACCGCCCCCGCCCCCCGGGCTACATTCCTCCCGGCCTTCCTGCCCTCCACAATCCCCCGGAGTCCATCGAAGCTCACGCCGACTGCTTCAGTGGCCCCATCCAGCCCCCTCATCCTCTGCCGTGCCCTCCTTTTGCCGTCAATCCTTCCCAGCATTAGGCTCTTCTCCAGGGAGTCCTTCCTTCTCGTTAGCTGGCCAGAGTATTTGAGCTTCATCTCTAGTATCTGGCCTTCTAAAAAGCAGTCAAGGTTGAGTTCCAAGGTTACCTAATCACTAGGCAATAAAATACAACAAAATGTCATAAAATCTTATCCACAATCAAAGATTAATTACAAAACAATAAAAGCAGCTAGAAACACACTGTGAAGAAGGACCATGCCCAAGAAAAATGGCAGGGATGGGGAATTCGCTTAAGCCCGGGGAAACCGAGTCTGATCCCTACCTGCGAGATGGCCTGAAGGGCCGCCTTGGCCTGGTACCACTGTGAGGCCTTGCAAGGACTATTCCAGGGAAGGGAGAAGAGGAACCCAGCACCACCAGGACAACATTCCCCGGCAGCACGTTAGCGGCCTTCCCTCCCTCCCTCCCCGAAGGGCCACTTGAGGCAGCCGAGGTGGGCTGCCGCTGCCGCTGCCTTGCCCCCAGCTCTCCTTTCGCTCCACTTCGGATGCCTGTGCTGCTTCAGGTGCACGAGTTACAGGCCTCCCCGGATGGGAACCCTGGGCCTGCATGCTGCATAATCTTCCACTGTTTTATTATACTTCCTAGTTGGTTGGTTGTTGGCATTTTGTCTGCTCCTCTCTGGAGCAGTTTGCAAAAGTTTACAGTTTTCTTGTTTTTGCATTCTCGGCTTCAATTGTCGGTTCATCTTAGCCACTGTGGTGCTTTAGTTTTACCCTGGAAAAGCAGGAGAGAAACGTTCCTAGCAGAGCTGATAGATGAGAAATCGTGCCTGGTTGTGATGCTGGGGGAACCAGAGTGCGGAAGGCCGCACGGCAGCTTCGGTTCTTCTCCAAGCCCTGCTGGGACATGTGCAACTGAAGAGGCCGCTTTCTCTGTTGTGGCACCCGGACTGACGAGTGTGCTCCCGGGGGGGTGAGACTGGCACAGGCAGATCGATTTCGCTGCCCAGATAAAGCCTGTTTCTTTGCTGAAGGCATTTTAAACTGGTTTTCATAAAGCCGGTTGTCTGAAACTGTCTCTCTCACAATTCCCACCTTTCGTTGCTTTCATTGGTGCCTTCTCATTTTTATTCTACCGTAGGTTACGTTAGGGTTTTCTGATCATTTTATGATGAAATGCAGAGCTGAAGAGCAGTGCAAACGATACTTAAGGAAATAAATATTGCTGTGAGTTTGGGAGTTCAGAATGTGGCCAAAGGCAAGATTTTAACCGGGGTTCCTCCACAGCTGTGTACTTAGCCTAACCATTAATCTGGTCTTGGCTGGCTCTCCTTGTCCTGGCTTACTTGGGCAAGTTCAGGAACACATGCAGTGGGAGCTGCTGGACTCAAAAAGCGTTTGGCGCTGCCAGTCCAGAAGTAAAGAAGGCCTGCAAGTTACGGCAGTGAAGCAGATCTGGGTTTTTTTCAGCATGCAGAGACAGCACAACAGATAAAATGACTTTTGTGTCATTGCTGTGTTCTTCAGGAGGCCTGCTAAAACGCTGTTTGTTTTTTTAATGGGTCAGAAAAGTGTGAATGTGTATGTACCGCACAATCGTTCTTTTCAAGCGCCTCAGGCAAAGCAATCTCAGGAACATACTAAATTTGATGAAAAACCTTGACATTCAAACGCGGGAAGAATAAGAGCAGATGATGCCCTTTTGGCTAGTTATTTGCCAGCAGCAGCAGAAATGGGGACAAGGTGCCCCCTTCCCCCATTCTCTGCTTTTATTTGTAAACAGTCGCGCTTATTGAATTGCCCACTTACTGAAAATTGTCACCGTGTCTCTTCAGTTTGCAGAGCTGAGCAGGTCTCTGGGAAAAAGCATGCCAATAAACCCGGATTAAAAGTTTTTCGGCTGCCTCGGGTGGAGGGCACTGCCATTTTGGGGGGGCTTCTTGGAAGTCGGGTCCTGTGAGGCATTTTGTACATTGGAACAAGAATGGATCTGCAGTGTACATACTTAGGAAGCAGTGAGTGGGGGGAACTATTGCTTTAATGCCCCATTGGTGAACTTCCTAGAGGCATCCAACTGGGCACAGTGAGAGATGGGATAATGGGCTAGGTAGTCCCTTCTCGGCTCGATGCATGGGGAATTCATGTGGGTACAATAGCGTCATCTCCACTGTGGGACCCTTTATCATCTTTAGGTTTGTGCTGGAAAATACTTTATTTTCCTAACATTTTGTTCTTGATCTGTTGCACTTCTAAAATGATTTTAATTTTTAGCTGATTCCTAGGTACGATCCTGTTTTAGTTGTTCCAGGGCGCAGTTATTTATCCTCTTGAAATAAGGTCTCTGGTAGTGCTGTGTTGAACTGGGTCTCAGGGGACCTGGATTCCAGTCCCCGTGAAGCTCATTGGGTGACTTTGGGCCAATCACAGGTGCTCAGCCTAACCTACCTTGCAGGGTTGTTGTGAGGATAAAAGGAAAATGAGGAGAATGGACAGGCCTTGGTTTCCTTACAGGAAAATAATATAATAGGCATAATGCATAAAAGCCAAGAAGGCAGTGTTGTTTTTTAAATAAAGGAAACACTGGCAAAATCCAGTCGACTTAAGAGTTGTCAAATGGATCAGAAGTCTGTGCTTAGAGATCTTGCACACAATTAGAGGGCGATTCGGTGACTAAACACGCACAGGATTGTGCCATCAGGGCTAAACTTGCAGTCACCATGGACTGGGAATGCTGAATTCAGTGAAAGGTCCCTTCCAGCATTCATGAATGGCATCTTAACAAGGTCGTGGGGGAGGAAGCGAAAGTTAGGACGGAGTTGGGCACCCTGAGCAAAAAGCGACTCGCTTTGGGAAATGCCCCACTCGGAGCTGCAGCGGCAACCACCAAAACAGGTGCGGGTTTTCTGCGGTGGCAGCTTTCTCTGTGTCAAAGCCGAGGACTCGCAGAATGTCGGGTTCGCACTACGTATCCTGGACGGCACCAAAGCGAGCACGGCTTCCTGCAGTCGCTCACGGTCCCCGTGTGTCTCTTCCCGGTTTCCAGGCCAAGCGCCG